TACAGTCGGATCTTTTTTATTTTTTACCTTCAATTTCCACACATGGTTGGCTAGTCTAGTAGAATTCCTAAGACTTTCCAGCTTGAAAGATGACTTGTGATTATACCACCTCTGTTTAAAGTTACCTTCACCAAACCCTATGTATATCTTTTCTGGTTATTTTTATCTATTACTCCTGCTCTGTAAATTACTGCTTCAGTTTTGCAAATTCTGCCTAATGGACATCGACGTTTATTTGTGTATTTCCACTCATCACTATTAACGATCTTTTGCTGCAGGTTAGTTCTTAAATTCCTGTCGTTTTCTCTTTTTATTATGGATTCTAAATTACTGTAACTTAATTTAACTGTGTTTTCATTAAATATTTTATGTAATTCAGTTACCAGTGAACATAGCTTGTCAGAGCAGTTGCCCTGAAAATATTTGTAGAAAAAACAGAGGGAAGCCACATCACGTATGTGAGAAAGTGACTGTAAACGAGATGCCAGATCAAGACCTATCAAATTGCATATGCGTCTATGGTTTTTGTCTAGGACCTCGAGATGAACAGTGGGGGCACCAGACCATATATGGTAACAGTATGCAATGCATGAGAAAGGACAAATGGTAGATTTATCGCATTTTTTTGCTTCTTTTCAGATTCTCTTAATCAAAAAATAGAGAAGAGAGAATATGGTAAGGATTGACTGTCAGGGAAACTTGACAATGTCTTTTGTCTCAGTGATATCCTATGAATTATGTGCGTGTATATTATGACCTCAACGCTTAGATTGTATAGTTTTCAATGAATGGTCATAATCCACGCAAAAACATCTTCGACAAAAGGTTACGTGCTAGGAATTGCCAACTGACCTTGATTGATAATAAGATTAGAAATATATAATATCTTCTATTCTTTTGGTAAATCAAATATTAATTGTTGAACGTTGATTTTCTCTACAAACCCTTTGAATTTTATATATAATAGATTCACTCTGTCATAATTACTTTCTTCATGGTTTGGGTTGATTTGTTTTATGGCATATCAACCACAATGGGTTATTTAATGCCAACAAATATTTTATTGTTAGTAATATTTTTTTTTTCAAAAATTAATTGCTACTAATATTTTTCCTCCAAAATGTATTGCTGGTATTAAAACCTATTTTTACTCTTTCATAGTATTTTGACCCCAGTTTGGGGGTTAACTATTTGCCCATAGCTGAGACCCTAACAGGTGCTACCACCCCAGGCAGGTCTGGGTGGACCTGGGAACATCAGCAATTAAGAGGTGGTTCCATGCACCTCAAAATCTCCTGACCAGAGTCTTTGCTGTCGAATGTAGTTTATCGTCAGACCTGGGACGGAAACTGAGAAGGCAAAACTAAATTAACTCATGCTTTGGTCCCAGAGAACAGAATATCTCAATTTCTTTATAATTTAACTTAGCCTTATGGCTTCCAGCAAATGAAATATTTACTTTAAATAGAAATTATATTGGAGACTTTAGCTATATCATGATGTAATATGTTATATAGTGCAGTAGTTTTAGTGCGATTTTAAAAAAATAAAGCAAATTTAAAACATTTTGTAATATTATATAGATTTTTATCTATTTAGTTTTTTATTCATTATGACATGGGAAATGATGTAAGATTTTCTTCACTGAGTAACCTTTTTGTTTTGGTTTATTTTGTTTTACGATATATCAACCTCAATGAGTTATTTAATGCCGACAAGATTTTTATTGCAGGTAATATTTTTTTCTTCAAAAATATATTATTGATAATATTTTTTCTTCAAAAATGTAATCCTGGTAAGAATGTATTGCTGGTAATAATTTTTTTCTTCAAAAATTCACTGCTAGCAATATTTTTTTCAAAACTATTGTTGGTATCAAAACATATTTTTACATTTTCATAGTGTTTTAAACCCAGTTCGGGGGTTAATTATTTGCCCATAGTTGGGACCCTAACAAATGCTACCCCCCGGGTCATTGTAGACATGGGAAAACCAGCAATTAAAGATGATTATACGATCCTCAAAACCTCCTTATCAGAGGCCTTGTTGTTGGATATAGTTTAACGTCATACCCAGGACGCAGACGTAGGTTATCTTCTAACCCAGGACACCAGATATAGTTTAGCGTCTTACTCCGGACGCGAATGTAGATTAGCTTCTTACCCAGGACGCGGATGTAGATTATCGTCTTACCTAGGATGCGGATGTAGTTTATTGTCTTACCCAGGATGTAAAGTGTCGTCTTACCTGGGACGCGGACGGGTTCGTGGGTTAAGTATTTGCCCATAACTGGGACACTAAATGCTGCTACATCTCCGGATCAGGGTGAACTCGGGAACATCAGCAATTAAAAGGTGGTTCCACGCTTCTCAAAACCTCCTGATCAGAGGCCTCGTTGGTGGATGTAGTTTAACGTCTTATCCAGGACGCGGATGTAGGTTATCATCTTACCCAGGAGACCTGATGTAGTTTATTGTCTTACCCAGGAAGCCGAATGTACGTTGTTATCTAACCTAGGACACAGACGGGTTTGTGGCTAACTATTTGCCCATAGCTGGGACCCTAACAGGTGTTTCCACCTCGGGTCAGGGTGAACCCGAGGACATCAGCAATTAAGAGGTGGTTTCAGGCTCCTCAAACTTCCCGATCAGAGGCCTTGCTGTCGGATGTAGTTTATCGTCATACACAGGAGAGCTTTTTTCGTTATTTTAACATATTTCCCTATATATTATATGTGGCATCCTTCGGTCTCGAGAGACCTTAGACATGCGCCTAAAGAGTTATGCCTCAGATGCTGAAAGCAGAGCAGAATTTTGTTATGGCTGTACAGGCTCACACAAGCGTGACAGTCTCGATTCCAATGAATGCACGTGAAGACGTTCTCCCTCAATGTCGCCGTGTTTATTTTCTTTCAGCCGACCATACTTCTCCCCCGGCGGCAAACCTCCGTTTCTCCTCTGCTCATTCCAACTTACGGTGTAAATCGCGTCTCCAGCGTGAGCGATCCGTAGCAATGTCTTCCATACCTCTCGCTGTCCGTTTCTATCGCCCACGTGTTTCTTTTCCTGACGTCCTTGAAGCGAAGATGAGGTCACACTCGTGCCCTCTTGCCGATGATTAGTTCCTCACACTGAAGGAATGTTTGGTGCAATGTTTGCAGACCACGATTCAGGATAATTTTATCCCTTAGCCCCACGCAGCAATCAAGCGTTAACTTATAACTGTTTAACTGTTGCTCCATGTTTTTTACCGTCTGGTATGAGGTCTCCAGGGTACGGGCCTGGGTAAGGATTGATGAGAGTTTGGCGGTTACCCATGAAGCATGTCTTCCCACTCCATACTACCGATGTTGCCCAAAGGAAAGCTAGAATGCAATACATTTAATTGAATAATATAGACCTATTGTGTCTACTTATTTTTATACTGATCCTTTTCAATTCTCTTCTCAGATTCTTGATGCTAAGATAAAATTCATCAAGGAAGGCGTCGTAGTAATAAAAATAATTACTGAGCGCGTTCATGCGTGTTTTTAAAAAAATCACCATCATAACAGAAAACTGAAATGTCTGGAACTCATAATGAGGAAAGAAGACCTAGAGGATTTAATGCGCGTAGGACATACTGAAGACTATAAAAATATCCCAAAAATAACCACCAAAAATAACCCGCAAACACAATCCGCAAAAACCCCACAAAATTAACCCGGAATAATAAATCACTCACTGATCATCGGACTAGGATCAAAGTGTAGTTCCTGTTACATCTTGAAATGATTTTTAAGGAAAATTCTTTTCTCAAGTCCACTGTTACTACTTTTTAAATATACTGATCTGGGATTTTCTTCTTAACCTTTTGTCTTAACTGGTGTGGAATATCAACATTTCGACGGTTTTATTATTTTTTCTATTCGAATTATTGTTGTTATTCGTTTTCGCTGTCGCTGTTGTTGAAAGAACTCAAGTGATGTTGTTGTTGTTGTTCTTGCTACAGTTCTTTGTGATTCTGTAGCGTCAGTCTCCGATGTCCGAAGACGGGTTCTCCTGGCTAATGCATATATGATTTACTCCTTTTGAAACCATTTTAACCAGTGACTGTATAGAGACAACAGTTTATATATTTCTGAACATGTTTTGACCCCTTAAATGACATCCATATGAAAATTTCGATTTGATGAGACAATCTAAGAGCAAGTTTTGCGTTATTTTTTTTTTAATTAACATTTTTGTTTTGTAGCAAGTTGTTGTATTGTGGGAAACTACCCCTAACTCTGTAAAGAATGATGCATATACCGAGGTATTTGTAATGATGACTCGTATTTATTGAGTATCTTGAGTATTATGATAGATTCAGGGTAGGCGCTATTACTGCTTTTATTCCACTTCAAGATTATAGTTTCAGCTTTGAATAATAATAATAATAATAATAATATGAGATGAGGGAAGTGAGGTTGAGAAAAATAAATTTTAGCATTTTCATTTACTGACAGACAGAATTTTAATCCTTAAAAGAAAATGAAAAGAAATTGAATGGCGAATAACAATAACAATCGTGTCTTCGACTGTGAAGGACATGTTCGATATCTAATTTCCATTTTAATTTCAATCATCTATTGGCTATTGATCGATTGCACGCGTTTTCCTCTTTAGTTTTCGAATGGAAAGAAGCATCTTTACCACCAGCCAAATAGAGCGTGTTATGAAAAACAGCCAACGCATTAACTGCGGTCGGCCGTTGTTATTAAGATTTAAGCTTTGGTAAAATCCCCTAAAACTCCTTGCATCACTCTCCCCTGGGTGGGGTGTTGGGGTAGCGGTGCCGAGTCGGATGGTAAGGGGAGGAGTGTGAAGCGATGGTGATTGGTAAGTGCGTTCACCGAGAATTGAAATAATCGATATTCCTTATAAACTACTCATAGCTTTGAATGCTTTATAGATTTTAGTGACTCTTTAGAGGATTTTTTTTTTTTACAAATTTATTTAATCTCAAATCATATTCACTTTATGATCAGATTTGTTAGGTTTCTTAGTCATTTTTGTTTCATGTATCTGTGTTCCTCTTTTTCTCAATTCTTCTTCTTCTTCTCCTCCTCCTCCTCTTCCTCCTCCTCTTTTTCTTCACTTTCTTCTTTTCTTCTTCCTCTCCTGCTTATCCTCCTCCTCCTCGTCCTTCTTCTTCTTCTTCACCTTCTTCTTCTCCTTCTTCTTCTTTTCTTCTGCTTCTTCTCTTTCTCCATCCCCTCCTCCTCCTCCTCATCCTTCTTATTATTATTATTCACTTTCTTATTATTATTTTCTTCTTCTTCTTCTTCTTCTTCTCCTCCTCCTCCTCAATATCCTCCTCCTTCTTCTTCTTCTTCTTCACCTCTTCCTCCTGCTTTTTCTTCACTTTCTTCTTTTTCTTCTTCTTTTCTTCTTCTTCTTCTACTCTTCCTCCTCCTCCTCCGCCTTCTTCTTCTTCTTCACTTCTTCTTCTTCTTCTTCTTCTTCTCCTCAATATCCTCCTCCTTCTTCTTCTTCTTCACCTCTTCCTCCTCCTTTTCTTCACTTTCTTCTTTTTCTTCTTCTTTTCTTCTTCTTCTTCTTCTACTCTTCCTCCTCCTCCTCCTCCTCCTCCTTCTTCTTCTTCTTCACTTCTTCTTCTTCTTCTCTCATTCCTATGTTTTATCGTACATAGTTTCTTTTCAAAATGATTCTATCCTTCCCTCACTCTTTCCTTCCTTCCTTCCTTCCTTCCTTCCTTCCTTCCTTTTTTCCTTCCTTCTTTTTACTTTCATCTTTTTCCACTTTGTCATTTCATTCTACTTCAGCGTCTTCATTCCCTACTTTATTCTTTCCTTTTAGCTTCATCTTTTTTATCTTCGTCATTTCATTCTAATTTAATGTAACACACTAATATTCTTTCCTTCTGTCCTTCTTTTTCTTCTTCTTCATCTTCTTCTTCTTCTTGTCTTCATCTTCTACTGCTATTTATTCTTCTTCACCCTCTTCTGCTTCTTCTGCTTCTTATTAATATTCTGCTTTTTTTCTTCTTCCCCTACTTCTACTTCTTCTTCGTGCTATCCTCGTTCAAACTTTTTATCACACTAGATAAAGCGCTCTTTCTCTCTCTCTCTCTCTCCCTCTCTCTCTCTCTCTCTCTCTCTCCCTCTCTCTCTCTGAAATTGTAACTAAGGTCTGATCAGCTTAGTTGCAGTATAAACCGCATGGCTCTGTGGGTGTTGAACCAACTCAGCCTGAGCAAGTGTCTGCATTAGGGATTGGCTAGCCGTCCTGTTAGACGAGTATCCACGAATACGAGTGGACAGCTATTATTATATAGTTATAGATATATCATGATTAGATAGCTAGCTAGCTAGCTAGCTATCTAATCATGATATATCTATAACTATTTGGCCGCTGCCCCACGCAGCAAGATGTGGCACAAGGCCGAGTTTAAAGTGGGGTATCCGAGCCCGTAGGCTCGGGCAAAAATTCTCTAGAGACCACGTAAAAACGGAGTCAGATTCCCGAGACGAGGCTCTGCCGAAGGGCAGAGTCTCGTCTGGGGGATACCCTCTGACATAAGCCAGGTAAGTATATATCTATATATCTGACAATCACAGTCTTTTCATTATGTATCTATCTTTCTATATCTACATCTATTATAAGTATTTTTTTTTCTTGTTAGCGTATTACTTTCTGTTTATTGGTGTAGATATGTAAAAGAATTATCCACATTGCCGGTCCGTTGTTGCTAAAGTTGTCAGCTTTCGAATGGTCTCAGTAAGTATCAATTGAATTTCATTTCAAGTCTTTCTTTCTTTATAACGAAACCAGTTGAAATCTTGGAAACCTTAGCAAAGCACACACGCGAATTATGAAAAGTTCTTCATTCGAAACTGAGATACAGAATCTAAACAAGCAACAAGACAAACATTAAAATATATCAGCCGCATGACTTATCTGTCTTCTTTCATAAAACTTGTTTAAAACCTACCATTATATGTATCTATCAGTGTATCTATTAGTCTATCTATCAGTGTATCTATTAGTCTATCTATCTGACCCAGAAAATGGTAATCTTAATACAATTCATCCACAATTCACCTGCAATTCAAGCACAATTCACAAGATGCAGACATGAATTTAGATTTAATTTCTTTGGGTTTTTTTTTTTCACTTTCAGTGAAGCCAGTACAAAGATGGTAGGTTTTAACAAGAATGGACACGAACTGTAGACATTTCTTTTAAGCATTCAACCCCAAGAAACCGAAAGTATACCGTCAACAAAAGACATCGAAGAAATACAAGTAATGTAGAATCTATTTAGTACCTAAATGGGTGACTGTTTATGGATTACGGGTGCCGTAAGCTTTGACGTGCATATAGCGCAATGGATACCGGTCCGGCATTTCAATTCCAGTCAGGTTCGTTATATTTCCTTAGGCGCCAATACCCTTTGGAATGGTATGAATCCACCTCTTTCCCCCAGATATGGATTAATCAGTAGTACTTGTATTATTATTGCTTCAAAAAGTTTCTTAGAAATTTAAAATATTTAAAGGACCTCAAATTAAATTTATTTGATTGAAATCTTTCTACACAGATACATTCAACATATAAATGATAAGCCAGATATTTGTGGGCTAACTTCTGGGTTTAATAATAAGGTGAAAACATGTTTTCAAGCGAAAACCCTGGATTTTGACTACTTTTAGTTGTTTACGTAACCTTGCAAACACTAAATTTTAGTTAATATAATTTTATATAAACTACCTAAACTAGCTGAAAACACTTGTTTTCACGCGAAAACACCTCGATTATTACTACTTTTATGACTTTTCGTGACTTTGGTGTTAGCAAAGTTTTAGTTAATACTAGACAACCCTTTTAATCACTGGTAGTTCAGGTTATAAAACATTGAAATTGATTTCCATATTTCAAGGAAATAAAACTTTATTATATTATGATTCAATTAAATATTTCAATTCATTCATGTCATCATTGGAGTTCGGTTTACAAGTTCCCTTTTAACGTTTTACTGATTGTTTACAACATTTTTATAGGAATAGAATTTCCTTGAACTTTAAATAAGATTTACTTACAAATATATTTTTAATATGCCAAAAAATATTTTTAAATAATAATCACTAGAATATATATTTTTAATTATGCTAAAAATCCTTTTTTAATTATTTCAAATATTGTTTGTTTAAAGAAAGCATAAATATAAATAATTACTCTACAAACAACTGGACCAATCAGCAATTTGGGATCTTTTTCTTTCTGTTTAAACTAAAGAATATTTTAATTAAAAAATTGTCTGTTTGAAGAAAATGAAATTAAAAAAATACTTACTGTATAAACAACTTGTATTTTTATACTTATTCACTTAAATCAGATTAACTTAAATCATTACGCGTTTAAAGATTCATGATAGAGCGTCTAAAATCTGTTCAAATGATCTGTGGCTATGAGCATTTTGCTTAATCTCTTAGTCAGTATAAATTATGTTTTGGTATTTGTTAATCAGAATGAGTTTATTGTTTTATAGCAATAGGGAAGTATTAATTTCCGAACACAGCCAGCATATTGTAGCCGTGTTCATAATGGATATTATTGAGAACTGCTTTTTTATTTTTTACAGCATTTAAGATGAATAAATCTTCCGTGATAAATTTGAATTTTTAAATCAATTTAACTTACAAACATTTTATTAATATGCCAAAAATATTTTCAAATGATATTCACTTGAAAATATTTGCATAAATATGTGAAAAAATACTTTTTAAATATTTAAAATATTGTTTGTTTAAAGAAAGCTGAACTATAAATAATTACTCTACAAACAACTGGACGAAGCAACAAAGCGGGACCTCTTCGGGTCAGATTTAACTAAAGAATATTTTAATTAAAATATTGTTTGAAGAAAATAAAAATAAAAATACTTACAGTATAAACAACTTGTAAGTTAAAACCTTATTCACTTAAATCAGATTAACTTAAATCATTATGCGTTTAAAGATTCATGATAGAGTGTCTAAGATCTGTTCAAATGATCTGTGGATATGAGTCCTTTCGCTTAATCTGTTAACCATTATAAATGATGTTTTAGGTATTTGTTCGTCAGAATAAGTTCATTGTTTTATAGCAACAGGGAAGTTTTAATTTCCGAACACAGCCAGCATGTTGTGGCCGTGTTCATATCTGATATTATTGAGAGCTTCTGCTTTTCTTTTATTTTTTACAGCATTTAATAGAAATAAAACTTCCGGGATAGACTTGAACTTTAAATCAGATTAACTTACAATTTTTTTTTAATTTGCAAAAATATTTTACAATCATATTCACTTGAAAATATTTTCGTAAATATGCGAAAAAATGCTTTTTAAATATTGAACATTTTGTTTCTTTAAAGAAAGATGGAATATAAATAATTACTCTACAAACAACTGGACGAAACTGTAAAGCGAGATCTTACGTTTGGTTCTAACTTAAAAATATTTTAATTAAAAAGGTTGGCTGTTTGAAGAAAGTTAAAATAAGGTACTGTATAAACAAATCGTATTTTTAAATGTTATTCACTTAAAATATTTCTTAAATCAGTTAACTTCAAAATATTTTTTAAATATTTAAATTAGTATTTGTTTAAAGAAAGTAAATAATTACAAACAACTGGACGAAACAGCAAAGCGGGATCTCTTCTCGTCTGTTTTAAATAAAGAATATTTTAAATAAAAAAAATGTGTGTTTGAAGAAAGTTAAAATAAAATAATTACTGTATAAACAACTGGTAGATCATTATGCCCCGGATGGACGCAGAACACAAAAAAGTAAGCGCACGGATGCAATCACAAACTTTTAGTTTTATATAGATAATTTTGTGTTAGCTACCTAAACTAGTTGAAAACTCTTGTTTTCACGCGAAAACACTTCGATTTTAACTATTTTTAGTTTTCTTCTTGACATTGCAAACATCAAATTTTCTCTGGTTTACTTAACTCCTACTAAACAAGAAAGCTGAAATTATTTGACTCGTTCGAGCATGACGTGATTTTTTTAGAGAGGGAAATTTTTACTCCGCCAGATCTATGATTATCATGGGCCAGCAAAGTATATTTGGCAAAAACATCTAACATGTTAAGGAAACTTTGTACAGTGACGAGTTCATTTCGTTATTAATATTATTATTGAAATAATGATATAAATCCTTTCGGAAGAGAAATCTCATTGGACCAAAATGAGCTAGTAAATTGGTTTTCAAAATGTATGCAACCATTTTAGATTATTCTTTAAAATATACAGTGTCCACAAAGACTTAAGCCGATTTCAAAAAATAATTACGAAATCTTAGAAAAGGGGTCACTAAATTTTTGTTGCATATTATTATGTTATTGTAGTGAAATCAGTTACCCCGAAAAAAATTTCGTGTTTTGTGTGCGATCTGCCGAAGAAAAATTACCAAAAAGTAGTTAGCAAAAATCTACATCAATGACTAGAATCTATGCTAATGTTCTTCCCTTCCCTGAATGGCGTGACCAATCAGAAAATTCTCTCGGTGAACAGGAGCCGTTGTTTTTCGCTTATAAAAGGAGATTTTTTTGAGCTTGGTGGAACGAACATGCGTTTTAGCTGGTGAGAAGTGAAGGTGGGACGTGTGACCCCATTTTGTCGTTTCTACGTTGTTTTTTGTCTGTAACGTCGGACTATCGTTTGAACTGCGATTTGGCTACAAGTGTTGCCGTCGAGAAACAAGAAATCAGTTATCATTAAAGTTTTAATAGTTTTATTAATGCTTTGTTCCTCCTTTTCAAACTGTAGTTGATGTTTTTTTTGGGGGGGGTCGTTTCAGCCTGCAATCA